ATGACAGTCTATAGATCAGTTAGGATTGCTTGATTAATGTTCATCAGCCACTCAGCCAACTGCCCGCTGTAGTCTGCAATTAGAATTTGAAGCTGCATGCTGCTAATAAGCGCCTTTTGTGATTATCAAACCATTGAGCTTAGTTTGAAGATAGTGACTTGACTTCTAACCCTGTCAACAGTTGGTTTGTTCATGGGTCTGAGTTTTCACACAAGTCTGGAAACTGGGTGAAGATCCTCCTCCCAGCCCGGGCCCTAAACAGTCAGTGTTGATGGAGAACAGTGTTGTTAGGCTAAGCCAGGGACCCAGGATAGGACTAGTTGGACATCTCACACTTGTTGAAAAGAAGTCGATAGACCTTGAAAGCCCCTTGTCATCAAAGCAGTTTTGGATGCCGACTCTCAGAGGAGCTTTGTGATAAACAGGAACCTTGAGTGGAATTCAAGACCTTTCTGGACTCGGTGTCAGCATTTTGCTTGTGTAAGTCTTGGTTACAGGGTCAGAGATTTAAAAGAGATTAGTTCTGCGAAAATGGTTAACCCGTATCAGAAACTGTCTGAACAGGTCCTGGAAAAACAAACAGAAAGGCAAAGTTTTTGTGTAGAAATTTGGTCATTCTGGGTGTTAATGCCTTAAGAAAGAAATGGGGGAGGGCATTGAAGTCATGAGATTTTCGGGTTATCTTTATTGTTTGAAGGATAAGCCTCTTGAACTGGAATATGTATTAATACTTACAAAGCACTATCAGAGCAGATGTGTGTATGTGCATGTGCGTGATTAGTTAAGAGCACCAGTTAAACCCCCAGACCCTGTCGTGTGCTGGCGGGGTGTGTGTGTGTGTGTGTGTGTGTGTGTGTGTGTGTTTCAGGGACTTGAAATTAACAGCTAATTTGGGTGGATGCTTCCTGCATCCTCATTAGAAGATGCATTCTGCCTTGTAAAGAGTCAAATTTTTTGTTGCTGTTTCTGGAAAGCTCTCCATCCTCAAGTATCTTCTTTATTTGAAAGGATAGAAAGTTATTTCGAGGAATTTCAGTCCAGGAGCAAATGCTCATGACTGTAAGACCATAAGTCTCCCATGTCCTGTGGGCTTTTAGAAGGTAGATTCATACATCCATGCACAGTCCTACCATGAGGCCACGGCCCATCCTCCACATCTCCCCACATGGGTGGGGTGTGGGCTGGAAACCAAGGGAGCCACTAGCCTGAATCCATCAGCTGTGGCAGAGGATGCTATACACACACTCTTGACTTCTAGTTGAACATTTCTTAGAAATATTTTCAAAATATATGTGCTCACATTGGTTTTTTAAGAAGGGATATGAATGAAGAAGAATGTAGGCAGCTTGTTCCCAGTCTACTACTTGAAACTTCCTGTGGAGTCGTGCATAGATCTAACATGTGACCCATCCGTGATCAAGTATCAGATGCTTTCAGGTCGTATGCAGGGGTAAAGTGGAAAGATACATACCATTAAGCAGAAGACCCACTCTGTGCAGCAGGGTGCTCACTCTGTGGGAGGCATGAGAGTGTGCCCAGTTTAGGGACCACAGATTCACGTCACCCACTTCACTTTCATTCTGTCCTGTTGCATTTTAGGAAATAACGTCTTCACAGTGGGCTATTGTCTTTCTCCCATCTGAGCATGTTCCACGGACATTTGATGTCACTCATTCTTTCTTGGTTGGTACTTTGTTGATGGGGTGGATTTTATAAAAGTCAGGACACTTGGGATTCAGGACATCCTGAACCACTTAAAATTGGAGTAGACACTGACAACTTGAATTCCTTTATAGAAACAAAAATGAATTTTGCTCTGAAAATTATTGCACAAGTATGGTTTCACGGGTAACTTTAGGAGAAAAGGTTTTCATTTAAGAATCATAAGTCTCTTCTGTAACCTGAGAAAAGACATTCTGTGTGGGTAGCATAACTGATTGCTCTAACTTGAGAGATTGCCATCCTGATTCTGAAAACTCGGGTTCTAACAGGAGAGGAGCAGAAGATCTTGAAATTCCTATTCAACTTCTACAACTTTTCTTTCTGTATTTGAGATCTTTATATTAATACCCTTCAAGTCTTGATGTCTGCAGGATCCCATATTGGATGAGAAACAAATTCTCGTTTGCCTTTTTTGGGCACTTTAATGGTATCAGATGCTTTCCAGATTTTTTTCCAAATGGCTTCTTGGTGGCAGTGCTGGAGATTCTCAGGAATCATATTCTCTTTGTCACAGTCATTTTGAACCAGGAACAGTACACACCAGACTCCTTGGGAGTGGGGGGTTCAGAATACATAGGGCTGTGCCCATCCCCCAGGCCCACTCTGCTAGAACCACCAGGAGTGGAGCTCAGCCTACATGAATATTAGGAGGATCATGAGTTCAAAGCCAACCTCAGCAATTTAGGCATTTAGCAACTCAGTGAGACTCTCTCTCTAAATAAAATATTAAAAAGGGCTGGGGAGGTGGCTCAGTGGTTAAGCACCTCTGGGTTCAATCCTCAGTACCCAAAAATAAAAACTCCCTCAACCAAAGACAGATGTTCTGCTGGTTAAATAACCCCTGCTTGACTGAAACTTGGATGTGGGAGAGATTGATTATTAGGATCCTAAAAACTTCAATTGTGAAACTCAACATCAGAAAAACATATAGTGCAATTATCGGTTAGGGAAAGCAGAAGAAAACTAATTTGGGTACTGAATAGGGCAGTCAGGGTCAATGAAATTAATGTTGCCTGACCTCAGTTCCCTAAAGGGGACAGAAAGTACCCTGGAGGGATGGGAAGTTAAAAAAAAAAAAACAAAAAAAAAACAAGCTATAAATATAGAATGCATACTGGAGACCCTTTGGATTACACCTTGTTAAACTTATAAATGCATTTCTTTGTTCCAAACATGATCTATTTCATCATTTCCCCCTTGGTGGTTTAGTTTTTGGTGCTGGGGATAGAACCCAAGGCCTCGTGCATGCCAGGCTAGCACCTTCCCCCCCAGGCATATCCTGAGCCCCATCATTTTCCCTGTTGATGATACTTTCGTAAACGTGCTCACTGGAAGTAAGGATCATTTTAGACAATTGCTCTTGGTGACCCAGGAACTTGTTTCACTTGAAGGAACTTCTAGGGGTAAGCTAGTTGAAAGAGAATTAGATCAAGATAAATAGAAAATTGGAATTCCATGCACACTGGAGCCATTTCAGAAATTCTGTCTCCATTCCTCTGAATTTGGAATTGGAGATAGTACCTGCATGTTGGAACTTGTCACAGGTTAGAAGTTCTAGAGGCACTAAGACTTGTGGGTATTTTTCCTGTTCTCCAAAATCCCTTTGTTGGCTCTTTTTTTCTTTCTGTTTTCTTAAGACACTTCTAATGGTCAAGAAACAATTTTTTTTCCCCATGGGACTTCTCAGAAATGAGCAAATTAAAATGCAATGTCCAGCTGCTTTTCTAAAATATTAAACTCGCTGTGGGGAATTGGAACATGCAAAGGGATCATCACAGTGTTGTGGGGTAGTGAAAAACCCTCATCAGTGCCTGGGTCAGAGTGGACCTCTAAGCAATAAATTAAATACCAACATTGTAGTATCTCCATGAAATGGAAGATTAAGAAAACATTAGCAATGAGGATGCCAACTGTATTTGTTATCAAGAAGATGTGTATAGTTCGATTGCACTTTGTTATTAAAAAATTGAAAAAGCAGAAAACAGCCATCTGTCAGAATTTGGGTGACATTACAACAGCAGCCCTCTGATTGATTTCCTAGTTCCATTCTTGTTGCCAAATAATCCGTTCCTCACAGAGCAGCCCAAATGAGGTTTTTAAAAGAGGTGAACCAGAATGTATCCCTCCATGGATGAAAGCTCTCCCTGGCCTTCTATTGCCCTTAGACACCAGCTAAGGCCCTTTGGAGGCTCCTGGCCCTTGCATGATAAGCTCCCACCCTCCTGTCCAGCCTTTTCTGGCTGCCTTTCCATTCCTAGATCTTCTGGCCCTACTTTGCTCCTAGGTGCTGCCACTAGCTGCTGGATCTGCCAGAGTGATCTTCCGTTGTAACTCGAGAGTTCATCCTCCAGCTCCAATGCTGCCTCCTTGTCAGAGTCCCTTCCTTCACCCCATAGTTCTTTTTTTTTTAATAGTTTCTGACTATTTGCAAGTATTGGTTTTCAAATTTGTGATTGATTCCTACCCCTGCTGTTTTCTGCAGGAAAACAGGATGGTCATGAGGACAGTGCCTTTTGTCTTTTATCATCCTGGTCTTTATTGCACATGACCAAGGAGCACGCACTCAATAAATGAGGACAAGTGGGGAAGGATATGCCCCCAGTATTAACAGTGATGATCACAAGGAGAGGGATTGGGGGTGATTTTAAGTTTTTTTTTTTCCTTTTGTTCATTCCTGTTTCCTAATTTCTCTGCCAAGTTCATCTGATCCTTATATAAATCTTTATAAATTACTCCAGTGCTTCACCAGGTTTAAGGCAGTGGTTTAGGATTGCAGGCAGTAGAGAATGTTCTCTGCACACCCAGTGTGGTGCAATGGATGCTGAATGAGAGTTTCCTGAATGCATTGAAACCGTCATTCTTACAGAAGCCCTCACCTGCCAAGTTCTGCCTCGAGCTGCCCACCCACGTCTTTTTTATGGGAGGAAAGCGGGCGCAACGTGCAGCAAGGTGCAGATGTACAGAGCTTTGTCTGGGAGTTTCTGACCCTCATCTGCAGTTGTGTGCTTTTTCTCTGGCAATCACAGAGTTATTTTGCTCCAGGGAAAATCCATTATAAACAGCAACACATGGGACACTGGAGTGTGATGTGCTTCAGTACACACTGCTTCCCCCCCCCCCGCCCCCAAAGATAATGTGAATCCTTTCGTTCCACATGTAACTGAGAGACCGGCTGGACTATGTGTCTGTTTTTCCAGAAAATAAACAAAGCTACTGTACTTTAATAGTGACTTGGCCTGCCGTCACGTTATGTTTTAGAAACTGAATAGACATGGTAATTATGGTCTTAAAATAGAAATTATTTTAATAATTTCTGGCCTGGTAAATTGTGTGCCCCTCATTCCAGTGACTTAAGGCACTTTTAGGGGCTACTGAATGGTGAGGCTTTAACTCTTCAAAAGCCGATTTTCCTTAGCTAGACACCAGTCACTTATGGTTCCATCTCACTGTGAAGTCCATGGCCTGTGTTTTCACTTCAGTGGCAGTTTCTGGTTGTCTGTGCTCACTGAGGAGGTGAGTGAGGCAGGAAGGAAACAAAAAAAACTTTATAATTTAGAAACAGAAAAAAACTATTATTTCAAACAACAGAATATGTTTTTGACATGTTTCCATCATTATTCATTTAATGGATGTGGCCACACCAGAGTTCTTTCATGCCCATTTCATACCCATGTAGCTTAAGTCTGGCTAGTGCTAATGCCAAATTTAGGTAAAGATAACTAAGTGAAGAGAGAGAAACTCTTTTCTTAACTGTTTGGATTACAAGTGCCATGTCATTCTTGGAAGAAATCATTGTTCCTCAGCTACAAGAGTGGTCCTGAGTGACATGTGCCAAGAGTTGGTGTTGTTTATGTTCAGGACCCCCTAAGGGTATGGAGGAGGAATCTGGTTTGATTCTAGAAGAGTACCGACATGTACAGTTGGCTCGAGCTACTTTGTCAGAGAATAGCCACCACTTCAGAAAAGCACATTATACTGTCACATTTGATCATTTCCAATTGGAAATGGTTACAATAGCCCAATAGAAAGTGGAGATGGAGAAATCTGTATGAGCTCTTTTTTTTCTTCTTACCCTCTAATTCCCTTTTTCAACTTTGTAGAAACACAGTATATCCAGCAGAATCATCCCAGAATGCTTTTGATTAGACAAGCAAAGACACTCCAAGGAAAAGTTGACTTACTCTAGTAGTTGAAATTTGGATCCAATACAGAGAAAGAAAAAACAAAAATTGTGTGTGTGTGTGTGTGTGTGTGTGTGTGTGTGTAAATGTTGCTTGGTGTGAGACACCAGAGGGGTGGGACAGATCCCAGTGACACAGAGCACCAGAAGGATGCCGCCTGCTTGGCTAAAAGACCCAGCAGTAGGGCCTGCTATTGTAAAGCCCCTCCGCCAGATGAACAGGGACCCTTCTCTGGTCACAATAGCCATTCACGCTGAGCAGCCTCATTAAATATTCAGCCTGTGCTTCCGGCAGCTCATTAGGGCCGCAGTGAGCAGTGACGCGGATGCTGGGAGGCTGAGGGCCAGCCAGCATCGGTGGGCAGAGACTGAGCAGGCTGCCGATGGCTTTTCTGTTTGCTGCCTGTCCTGTGATGACCAGCGTGTGCTCCCTGCTTTGCTTGAAGTACAGGTAAAAAGAAAAATAAGCAGAGGACACTGGAGGGCTTCAGGCCCTTGTCTTAGACGCCATCTAGTAAGGGCCTCAGATTTTGGCATGTCTGCCCACTGGAAGCCCTGTGACCCCTTTAGAGAGCTGTCTGAGGCTTCAAGAGCCTTGGCTTAGCATAAACAATGTGGTGCTTTTGTGGAGTTGGGCTGTTGGATGACTACTACGTGGAGGGCATCTGAGGTGTGGTTTTGAACTTGATGCTAGAGGTTTAGAATAGGTCAAATCTAAAAATAACCTGGGGGTGATCCTGTGGTTTGTGCAGTGAGTATGCCTTGTCCAAGTCAAGTTTTCACATATTGGAGTGGTTGGCTACCAAGTCTTTCCCCTTTTACTCCAGGGCTGGATGTGGCTATGATATAAACGGATATTTATCTGCTTCAGTCCGCTGAATGTTGTGCTGCTTGTGTCTTGCAACTTTCCCATGGGCTTGCCCCCAGGGCTATGTGATGCAGGAAACTGGGGAAATCTGTGAAATAATTAAAAAATCAACTCCAAGTGTGTTTCTCTGATTGCACTATTAATGTGTTTTTCTGTTTTCCTCACAGAAAATGTTTCCAGACCGCTCATTTCTATGTGGAAGATAGCAGTTCACCTCGGGTGGTCCCCAATGAAAGTATTCCTATTATTCCTATTCCGGGTAAGTAGGACACTGCTCTTACTTCCAATGGGTTGTTTTCTCTTTTGTTCTTGGTTTTTGCAGTAGCCATGAAAAAAATATTATTTTTATAACTTTTCAAAGCTTGTGCAGTCAGAGATCCTTAAATAAGGGTAATTAATGCAATTTTAGCTCCTTTTGCATATCAAAACAAAGTAATAAATTCCTCTTTAGAGGAATGCATAACTATGAGTTAATATTAAGCACTGAGGCACCATGTAGGAAAGGAAAGTAACAGTAGAAAAATGTAAATTCATACAAAAATCATTTGTAATCTACTCAGGCTGTCTCATGTGGATGAACAATTTGTGCTTTTATCATAATTCATGATCGTTTTTTAAAATTTTGTTATATATGGCAACAGAATGCATTACAATTCATATTACACATACAGAGCACAATTTTTCATATCTCTGGTTGTACACAAAGTAGAGTCAGATCCTTTGTGTCTTCATACATGTACTTAGGGTAATGAGGACCATAGCATTCCACCGTCTTTCCTACCCCTATGCCTCCTCCCTTCCCCTCCCTCCCCCTTTCTCCTTTGCCCTATCTAGAGTTCATTTAATACTCCCCCCCACAACCCCGCAGCATATTATGAATCAGCATCCTTAAATTAGAGAAATCATTCGGCATTTGGTTTTGGGGATTAGCTAATTTCACTTGGCATTGTATTCACCAGCTCCATCCATTTACCTGCAAATGCCAAGATTTTGTTCTCTTTTAATGCTGAATAATATTCCATTGTGTGTATAGACCACATTTTTTCTTTATCCATTCATCTACTGAAGGGCATCTAGGTTGGTTCCACAGTTTAGCTATCATAAATTGTGCTACTACAACATTGATGTGGCTGTGTCCCTGTAGCATGCTGTTTTTAAGTCCTTTGGGTATAGATGTGATAGTTTTTTAAAGGCAAGTTTTCACCTAAGATTCCTAAATCTGAGAATAATTTCTCTTCATATTGGACGTTTTGGTTCTTGGGATGTGATATGGGAGTCTAGGGATATGTTGTCGGTCTGGTGTGTGTTTCATTTGTCCTCAGGATAAAACACTTGGCTATGTTAGGAGTAGGATTGGTGGGGTATGAGTCCTAGAAAATGCCATAGATACTTAAAAGTTCAGTGGTAGGTTAGTTGTTATAAATAGGATGTGGCCTTCGGAGATCTCACCCACCATTTTTTATGTGGTATCCTTTCCCGTTGGCCAGATTGGAACTTTCTGATGCTGAGTTTCATTATACATCTATTCAGATGTCTTATCCATCTTGACATTTATTACTGCTTTGTAGACAGAGGCCGTGCTTTTATTATGGTGCCACCCTCATCCTGCTTATCTGCCTCATGTCTATATACTTCCACCTAGGAATAGATTTAAAGTTTGCTGTCCCTTCCCTCTAGAATGAGAGCTCTGTAAGGGCAAGTGGATAGATTCTCAGTGCCAGAGTAACACTCTGCACACAGTTAGGCACTCGATTTGATGGATGCATGCATGAATGAGTATCAGCCAAACTTCCTTCAAGTTCTCAAAGGCCAGAGTTGAGAAGCTTTGTTTGCAGAGTATCAGTAGTTGTCAATTAGGATAGGGAGCTTAACTGACCTTTTAAGTGTTTATAAATGTTCACTCCTTAAATAATGCTGAGATTGTCTGTGTTTTCCATCCATCCTGGTCAACTCTTCTCATCAAAACTTGTCACAGGGCAAGAAGGAGAACAGAAAAGTCTCATTCCTATCAGACCATTCTGTGGCTGCTCAATGATTGCCATACAAGTGGAGCTAGGTTTTGTGCTACCATGTGGTCCTGTCCATGAACCTTCATCTTTGGGTGGAAATGCCCTCTTACCTTGAGAGGAGAGGAGGCAGACAGGAATAGGGCTTCATCACCATGGGATAAGCCGTTTTGTCCAATCCACCAGATTTGCACAATAGTGTGCATATACTTACATGCATATACTCTTGCATCATCTAAAATTTTGACCACTGGGAAGTTTCTGGGAGTCTGATTTGTTGGATAAATATTGCTGTTGAATAGCTGTGCAATTAAAGTTTTGTTGTTTTTGGTACCAGGGATTGAACCCAGGGGCGTTTAACTACGGGATCATGTCCCAACTCTTTTTATTTTTTGAGACAAGATCTGGCTCACTAAGTTGCTGACGCTGGCTTTCAATTCTCAATCCTCCTGCCTCATCCTCCTGAGCCACTGTGATTATAGGCATATGCCACCACACCTGGCTAAAATCCATTTCTAAAAGGATAAATAGTGAAATACTTCTTGAGTTGTTTTTTCAGTTTTGTTTTTTTTTTTAAACACTGGATTAGAAATCACATCACTTAGGCTCTACCATGAATCTTGTGGTCCATGTGTGAACCCCCTGGAGCCTTAGTTTCCAGAATCTATGAAATGAACAGGGTGCTTGCCACCTGTGGCAACTGGAAAGGCCACATGAGATGATGTGTGGACAAGTGCTTGGAAGCATGCACAGCGACAGAAGTGGGAGCTCTCCAAACTTACGGACAGAGTGTTTTCACGGCCGCTGTGTTAAAATCCTCCCTGACTCGAAACTGCACCCACAGGGCATGGCCTGTCTCTAACTGCTTTTCCTTCTTTGGGGCTTTAATCTCCTGCTCACTAGAGTCCTCTGACAATGCCATAAATTCTGCCTGTCTTGCCGCATCTTTTGAGTAGATGTCCTAGGCCAGAAATTACCTTTGAATGTTTTCCTGCTGTATTTGCCAGCTACTGGTTTAATTACCATGTTAAGTACTCAGCAACCCCACACATGTCTTTTTCTCCCCTTTCAATGTGAGTTTCTCCTAACTGATACTCACTGATAATATGTGTGAGTGTATGGAAAGAAAATTTCTTTGAATTTTAACTGGTGTTCAGTTGTGCTTCACTTGACTTGGGAGGTGCACTCTTGAAGAAAGGTAACACATTTCTGGAAGTGAGTTACTTTAAATGTTGTACAGCCGTGTGATGTCACAGGGCTCACCCAATGACATCATGAGGTCCATCTTTCTGATTCCTTTCAAGTTTTCCTAGAGGGCAGGGTCATTAATAGGGGCACATCTAGACTAATGGACTGCTGGCAGAGTTACCCGAGTATCCTTTTCTTAAAGAGCTTTCAACTTCACCACAATCTCTTTTTCTTAAGTAAAACCCCCACAGTCCTGTTCAATAGCTATATTCATGAAACATCGTAATTTTATGAAGCACTTTTAACAATCTCTCATCCTATTTATTTTCAGTTTCTTCTGCTTATAGCAGTGCAACTTTGTATAAGAAAATTCAGTGTAAGAAAACTTACACTTAAACACAGTGTTTAACAGTTATTTTCATTCTGCTAAAGCCTTTACCACAGCTTTCTCTCATAGAGACCTTCATGGGGTCATTTAGAATGCTTTACCTTAGTAGTCCATTGTTATGATTCTAAAAATAGTGAGAGACTTATAGAGCTTATACAGAATGCTTATTCTTATCTCTCCTTTTCACTACAGTCCTGGAGCAACAAGCACAGTTGATATCCCTATTTTACAGATGAGGACACTGAGGTTAGGAGACATTGTTTAGTTGGCCCAAGGTTACATCTCTAAATAGGGGAGCTAGCATTGGAATTCGTGGTGTGACTTCAAAGCACAGATACTTAGAAATGGCTCGGCATGCTTCTTGGTCAGAACTTGCCTCAAAACTTTAGAGCCCCTCATTTGGATGTGGCCTCATTAAATCAAGGCATTTGCCAATGCAGGTAATGTTCTTTTTAGTTTTTTCCTGAGTTCTTAAACCTTTTCATATTCTCTAGCAGACACTGGCCATTCACTTCTCCATTATATTCTCTTTTATCCTCCTGAAGGGAGTTCCATAATTCTTCTGTTGAAGTTTCTTCCATATTAAAAAAAAAAAAAAAAAAAACCCTCCCTCGCATATCTGCTCTCTAGTTATTTTTGTACTCTTCCTTTCCGAGAAAAAGACTTCCAGCCCAGCAATTGCACTTCCATTCCTTTTGCAAACACAGGTCTGTGTGATTTAAATGACTCAGGGAGCAATTCACAGACATGTTAAATATTGAAGAAATTTAGACATTAAATCAGCAACTTTTGGATGATTCTGCTGTGGTTAAAATTCATAAATACACAGCTCAGGATTTAAATCTCAAACCACAAGTGGAATCAGTAAGTCATACTGTTAGAAGTATTGTAAAATAGGCAAATGATTAAGGAAAGCTTTGCAAACTTTTGATATGCATCCCTTGAAGAGAGCAGTTTATAGTCATTTTTGAAGAACTTTGAGTTATCAGTTTTACTAATTCTAAATGAAAGGTAATTTAGGACCCTCGGCATGTTCTTTTGGTTTAATAGAGCAAAGACAGTCTTTTAAAAATGGAGATATTTTACAAATGGCCAAAAAAATATATGAAGATGTTCAACATCCTTAACAATCAGGAAAATGCAAATGAAAACTACACAGTTTTTCTCTTATTCCTGTTAGGATGACAGTCATCAAGAATACAAATAATAATAATTGCTGGTGAGGATGTAGGGAGAAGATACACTGATACATTGTTGGTGGGACTGCAGATTGGTACAACGACTTTGGAAAGCAGTGTGGAGATTCCTCAAAAGACTAGGAATGTCCAGGTGCAGTGGTGCACACCTGTAATCCCAGAGGCTCGGGAGGGTGAGACAGAAGGATCATGAGTTCAAAGCCAGCTTCAGCAATGGCAAGGTGCTAAGCAACTCAGTAAGACCCTGTCTCTAAATAAAATACAAAAATGGTCTTGGGATGTGGCTCAGTGGTCAAGTGCCCCTGAGTTCAATCCCCAATATCAAAAAAAAAAAAAAAAAAAAACAGACTGGGATTGGAACCACCACATGACCCAGATACACCAATCTGCAGTATTTATCCAAAAGAACTAAAAGCAACAGACTATAATGATACATGCATAACCATTTTTACAAGAGCCAAGTTATGGGACCAGCCTAGGT